TGTGTGTGGTGTGTGTGTGCGTAGTGTGTGTGTGGTATGTGGGTGTGTGGTGTGTATGGTGTATGTGTGGTGTGTGTGGTGTGTGTGTGGTGGGGTGTGTGGGGGTGGGTGTATGGGGTGTGTGTGTGGTGTTTGTGTGTGGTGTGTGGTTTGTGTGTGGTGTGTGGTTTGTGTGTGGTGTGTGGTGTGTTTGGTGTGTGTGGTGTGTGGTGTGTGGTGTGTGTGTGGCATGTGTGTGGTGGGGTGTGTGGGGGTGGCTGTATGGGGTGTATGTGTGGTGTTTGTGTGTGTGGTGTGTGTGTATTTGTGTGTGGTGTGTTTGGTGTGTGTATGGTGTGTGAGTGTTGGTGTGTGTGGTGTGTGTGTGAGCTGTGTGTGTATTTGTGTGTGTGGTGTGTGTTTGTGTGGTGTGTGTATGGTGTGTGTGTTGGTGTGTGTGGTGTGTGTGTGGTATGTGTATGGTGTGTATTTGTGTGTGGTGTGTTTGTGTGGTGTGTGTATGGTGTTTGAGTGTTGGGGTGTGTGTGAGCTGTGTGTGTATTTGTGTGTGTGGTATGTGTGTTTGTGTGTGGTGTGTGTGTAATGTGTGTGGTGTGTGTTGGTGTGTGGTGTGTGTGGGGTATGTGTTTGTGTGGTGCATGTGTGGTGTGTGTGTATTTGTGTATGGTGTGTGTTTGTGTGGTATGTGTATGATGTGTTTGTTGGTGTGTGTGGTGTGTGTGGTGTGTGGTGTGTGTGTTTATGTGGTGTGTGTATGGTGTGTTTGTGTGGTGTGTGTATGGTGTGTTTGTGTGGTGTGTGTATGGTGTGTGAGTGTTGGTGTGTGTGGTGTGTTTGTGTGGTGTATGGTGTGTGTGTGTATTGGTGTGTGTGGTGTGCATGTTTGTGTGAGGTGTGTGTGTATTTGTGTGTGTGGTGTATGTGTTTGTGTGGTGTGTGTATGGTGTGTGTGTGTTGGTGTGTGTGTGGTGTGTGTGTTTGTGTGAGGTGTGTGTGTATTTGTGTGTGTGGTGTATGTGTTTGTGTGGTATGTGTATGGTGTGTGTGTGTTGGTGTGTGTGGTGTATGTGTTTGTGTGGTATGTGTATGGTGTGTGTGTGTTGGTGTGTGTGTTGTTTGTGTGGTATGTGTATGGTGTGTGTGTGTTGGTGTGTGTGGTGTATGTGTTTGTGTGGTATGTGTATGGTGTGTGTGTGTTGGTGTGTGTGTAGTGTGTGTGTTTGCGTGTGGTATGTGTGTTTGTGTGTGTGTTTTCTTGCTGCCATGCCACCTAAAATAAACCCAAGATGGGATGCACCCCACCCTCTGAACCCTTGTTGGGTGGTCAACGGGTGTTCAGGACATCCCAGCCCAGGAAGGGAGACACACCAGCCTGTCCTGGTCTGGGTGCGCAGCCAGAAAGCACTGGGCCAGCCTGGGCAACACAGTGAGACCTCCTCTCTACAAAAAGTCAAAAAAATTAGCTGGGTGTGGTGCTGTGTGCCTGTAGTCCTAGCTACTTAGGAGGCTGAGGTGAGAGGATCGCTTGAGCTAGGGAGGTGGAGGCCACAGTGAGCCATGATCACGCCACCGCACTCCAGCCTGGGTGACAGAGGGAGACCCTGTCTCAAAAACAAAACAAAAACAAACAAAACAGAAAGCATTAGGCAGTCCACGCGTGGAGCAGCAGTGCAGGGCAGGGGTATAGGAGGGCCCATCCAGGCCTCTGTGACTTTAGCCACCGTCTTTCCTTCCCCTAGCCTGTCTCCCCAGGCGAGTCTCACCCCCACGCAGTCCTCAGAGACCCACCACCCAATTTACCCTTGGCCTTGAGTTTACCGTTCTCTGTTCTTCCAGGCTCTGCTGCCCACAGGCTATTTCACTCATCCTCTCCACCGGGTTCCTTGCGGAGGTGTGCAGGTGTGATATCATCGAAGGCTGTGAATAAGTAAACAATAAGCGGCCAGAAGTGGCCTGTTTCCCACGTGATACCCAGGGAAGGGTCCGATTCCCCCCGCCTGGGCTCTGGGGTGAGTCCTGGCCGGGGTGCCAGACCATTTATTATTTAGTACTTTTACTTACCTGTCCCAGGTTAGGGACTGTCCCAGGCAATGCCAGTCCCACCCTCTATCTGCACACCAGAAAAAGCTGAGGGCACAGCAGATGAGTTGCAGCCAGACAGCTAAGGGTCCAATCCCTTTCTTCTCACATCGACTGGCTGTTGAGACATTGGCCAAATTTCACAACCTCTCTGAGCTTCCACTGAGCACACACCAAGTCCCATTGCCAGGCCTAAGTCTTGCTTCTGCCAGTCACTAGCCTGGCGTTCTTGTGCAAGGGATTCAACCCCTCTGAGCCTTGGGCTCCTCATCTATGAAATAGCAGCACCTCTCATTAATCAAAATGAGATCTGTGTAAAGCACAGTTGCTATACACATATGTATTGTGATATTCATTAATAGTCATTAAAAATGTATGTATTTAGAGATGAGATCTCTCACTGTCATCCAGGCTGGAGTGCAGTGTCATGATCATGGCTCCCTGTAGCCTTGAACTCCTGGGTTCAACTGATCCTCCCTCTTCAGCCTCCTAAGTAGCTGGGATTGCAGGCGTGAGCACCAAACCTGGCCTGTTGTATCATTTATCTATCTGTCTATCCATCTGTCTGTCTATCCATCTGTCTATCTATCCATCTATCCATCTATCTATCTATCTATCTATCTATCTATCTATCTATCTATCTATCTATCTATCGATCTATCAATCAATCAATCACAATCTCAGCTCATTGCATCCTCCGCCCCCAGGGGTCAAGTAATCTTCCCACCTCAGCCTCCTGAGTAGCTGGGGCTACAGGCATGTGCACCATGCCTGGCTAATTTTTGCTTTTTGTTTTTGGTTTTTTGTTTGTTTGTTTGTTTTTGAGACAGAGTCTTGCTCTGTCACCCAGGCTGGAGTCCAGTGGTAAAATCTCAGCTCACTGAAACCTCTGCCTCCCAGGTTCAAGCAATTCTCCTGCCTCAGCTTCCTGAGTATCTGGGATTGCAGATATGTGCCACCACGCTTGGCTAATTTGTGTATTTTTACTAGAGACAGGGTTTTACCATGTTGGCCAGGCTGGTCACAAACTCCTGACCTCAAGTGATCCACCTGCCTCGGCCTCCCAAAGTGCTGGGATTACAGGTGAGAGCCACCACACCCAGCCTAATTTTTGTATTTTTTGTAGAGACTGGGTTTCACCATGTTGGCCAGGCTGGTCTCAAACTACTGACCTCAGGTGATCCACCCGCCTCGGCCTCCCAAAATGTAGGGATTACAGGTGTAAGCCACCATGCATGGCCTATAATTTTTTTGTTTGTTTGTTTGGGGTTTTTTTGTTGTTTTTTTTTTGAGACAGTGTCTCACACTGTTGCCCAGGCTGGAGTGGAGTGGTGCAATCATAGCTCACTGTCGTCTCAAACTCTTGGGCTCCGGCCTGGCACGGTGGCTCACGCCTGTAATCCCAGACCTTTGGGAGGCCAAGATGGGTGGATTACCTGAGGTCAGAAATTCAAGACCAGCCTGGTCAACATGGTGAAATCCCGTCTCTACTAAATATACAAAAATTAGCCAGGCGTGGTGGCAGGTGCCTGTAATCCCAGCTACTCAGGAGACAGAGGCAGGAGAATCGCTTGAACCCAGGAGGCAGAGGTTGCAGTGAGGTGAGATCGCACAACTGCACTCCAGCCCGGGCAACAAGAGTGAAACTGTGTCTCCAAAAGAAAAGAAAAAAAAAAAAAAAACCCACCACCACCACCAACAACAAACAAACAAAAAAACTCCTGGGTTCAAGAGATTCTCCCACCTCAGCTTCCCAAGTAGTTGGGCCATAAATGCACACAAAAATTAGACAACATGCCTGGCTAATTTTTCTTATTTTTTTGTATAGATGGGGTTCACTGTATTTCTGAGGCTGGTGTTGAACTCCTGGGCTCAACCGATCCTTCCACGTCAGCTTCCCAAAGTGCTGGGGGATTGCAGGCATGAACCACTGCACCTGGCTATATATTTTAATGAGCCTTCGTTCTATGACATGTACTTTGCATACATTTTCTCAAATAATCACAGGAAGCCCTGCCAGTCCCTGAGGGTCATCCCCACTTTCCACATGAGGACAACTGAGGCTCAGTGAGGTCAGTTGACTTGGCCAGGGTTGCACAGATACACTGTGGCAGAACTAGAATTCAAATCCAGATCTTTCCTGGTTCTAAAGGCTTTTTTTTTTTTTCTCGCCCAGGCTGGAGTTCAGTGACTCAATCTCAGCTCACTGCACCCTCTGCCCTCTACCTCCCGGGTCTGAGAGATTCTCCTGCCTCAGCCTCCAGAGTAACTGAGATTATAGGCACGCACCACCATGCCCAGCTATTTTTTGTTTGTTTTTGTTTTGTATTTTTAGTAGAGATGGGGTTTCACCATGTTCGCCAGGATCGTCTCGATCTCCTCGCCTCATGATCCACCCGCTTCGGCCTCCCAGTGTTGGGATTACAGGCGTGAGCCACCGTGCCCCGCCTTTTTTTTTTTTTTTTTTTGAGGCAGAGTCTCTCTCTGTCACCCAGGCTGGAGTGCAGTGGTGCGATCTCGGCTTATTGCAACCTTCGCTTTGTGGGTTCCAGCAATTCTCCTGTCTCAGCCTCCCAAGTAGCTGGGATTATAGGTACCCACCACCATGCCCAGCTAATTTTTGTATTTTTAGTAGAGATGGGGTTTTGCTATGCTGGCCAAGCTGATCTCAAACTCCTGACCTCAGGTGATCCACCTGCCTTGGCCTCCCAAAGTGCTGGGATTATAGGCGTGAGCCACCGCACCCGGCCTAAAGGTTTGTTTCATTTTGTTTCCAACTGGGCCATTATTATTTCCAACCTATAAAATGGAAGTAATTGTTTCTGCCACTCATGCCTCCTGTAAGGATTAAGTAAGATAAAGTCTATTGACACCAGCTCTAGCTCGGCACAGCTTCATTCCCCCAGGGTAATTACCTAAACACAAACCTTTCATTTTCATACTAAGGAGGCTGCTGAACCTCTTCTTAATCTCTGGGAGATGATATCATTGGATGTCCATTGGAGGCAGCTGAAATTATTAGATCAGAATCAGAACTGCCAGGTCCCTTCCCATGCCCAAGCCCGCTGAAGCTTCTTTCATCTTCTGGGATTCTCTGCATCTCTGATCTCCCACCCACCCCACCATGATTGGAAGTATACAGTCCTGTCTGCCTTTTCCCAGGGGAAATGCGGAACTACATATGATACTATCTGACCTCTCCAGCTTCCAACTTCAGCGAGAGGAGACCTTGTGGTTACCTGGCTATTGTGAAGTCAGTTTCTCTCTGCCCCCAGCAAATGGTGTGATGTGGATAGAAGTGGGGCCTTGGCACAGCCAGGCACCGTGGCTCACACCTGTAATCCCAGCACTTTGGGAGGCCGACGTGGAAAAATCACGAGGTTAGGAGTTTGAGACTAGCCTGGCCAACATGGTGAAACCCTGTCTCTACTAAAAATACAAAAATTAGCTGGGCATGGTGGCGTGTGTCTGTAATCACAGCTACTCGGGAGGCTGATATAGGAGAATTACTCAACTTGGCAGGCGGAGGTTGCAGTGAGCTGAGATCGCGCCACTGCACTCTAGTGTGGGCAACAGAGCAAGACTCCATCTCAAAAAAAAAAAAAAGAAAGAAATGGGGCCTTGGCAAAGTGGGGTATATACATCATCCCTTGTCTTGGCTTGCCTGGCAACACAGGCCTGGGGCACTGCCCATACTCCTGCATAATGTATGAGCCCATGGTAGGAACAAAACACCAGCACCAGCGGGTCTGGGCACTGCAGGCCACGGACGTGTCCAGGAGCCTTGCCAAGGCTGACGTCTCTCTGTTGGCAGAATATGCAGAATATGTGTTCCTGGAGGCCTTTTCTAGGGCTGAGGTGGGAACTGGCCTCATCTTGGTCCTCAGGATTCCATCAGACAATAAGACAGCCCAAGGCCTGTTACAAGCGTGAACAGTGGTTCACACTTGTAATCCCAGCACTTCGGGAGGCTGAGGCAGGAGGATCGCCTGAGCCCAAGAGTTCAAGAACAGCCCGAGCAATATAGTGAGACCTCGTCTCTACAAAAAATTTTAAAATTAGCTGGATGTGGTAGCATGCACCTGTAGTCTCACCTATTTGGGAGACTGAGGTGGAAGGATCCCTTGAGCCAGGAGGTCGAAGCTGTTGTGGTGAGCCATGATTGTGCCATTGCATTCCAGCCTGGGCTACTGAGTGAGACTCTGCCTCAAAAAAAAAAAAAAAAAAACCAAAAAACAGAAGACAGCCTAAGAAGGCAATCTTCTTTAGGATCAATAATGGTGACATTAAAGACAGCTAGATTTGTTTTCTGGGCTTGAAACGCCCTCTGAAATGCCAGGGGTAGCCAAGAGGGTGGCTGAGACCATCTCAGTATGGTTGACAGTGGGAGGGAAGATTTGGGATCCAGGGACACAGCCCCTGGCGATTTCCGTGGCTGCCTCACGGTGTAGGAAACCTCGGGGGCAGCAGCTGTGGTGAGGTATGTTGGAGTGGAGAATGTGGACAAAAATAGGTATATGGTGGCATTGTTTTTAGGGGAAAATGCCAGGATTCAGCCATCGTGTAGGAAGTCGGAGGCCTCCATGGAGAGGGGTGCTTGTGTGAGCATGCATGTGTGGGTGTGTGCAAGTGTGTGTGTGTGATCTAAAAAGGTTAGGAATGAAACGGGGAGGGCTGAGTGCCTTGAAAGCCAAGGGAATTAGGACATGTGGAAATCAATGCTTCATTCGTGGATAGTGTTTGGTTTCAATTCATTCAGAGAATCAGTAAGTATCGGCTGAGTGCAGTGGCTCTGGCCTGTAATACCAGCAACTTGGGAGGCCAAGGTGGGAGGATCATTTGAGGCGGGAGTTGGGAGACCAGCCTAGTCAACATAGCGAGATCCCATGTCTACTTTTTTAAAAGAAAAAAAATAGGCCGGGTGCAGTGGCTCACGCCTGTAATCCCAGCACTTTGGGAGGCCAAGG